AGTACAAAAATATCAGATACTTTGACTTTTACTCAAGTAATATTCTTAAAAGAGACTTTAACTTTTATCAAAGTAATTTTATGATGAGATGCTTGAACTTTTACTCAAGTAATATTCTTAAAAGAGACTTTAACTTTTATCAAAGTAATTTTATGATGAGATGCTTGAACTTTTACTCAAGTATCACTTTCAGGTACTTTATACAACACTGGTTAGTTTGTAGCAAAATATCTCGTGAATCATGTTTTAATCAAGCAGCTGGGTTCCAGCTTTATTCACAAGTTTAACTTTTCTCTCATTTTCTTTTTGCATTTGCTTTTACCACCCTCCATGTGTTTTGCTATATTGTGAATCTCGATTTATGAAGGTTACACAAGCTTTTCAGATCAAGTTCCCACAATTTTCTGTGATTAAAGTCAGCAGAGAGTTAGTAAAATATACACTTTGCTACAATCAGAACTACAGTGAGTCTTTTAAAGGGATCCACGATTACTTGTAAAATTAGACATATGATAAACATTTACTTCAACTGTAAAACAGAAACTGTAAAAATACCGTAGGCTGTTTAGTTGAAGTAAATGTTTATCAAATATCAAATAATGTCTAGTGTTACAAGTAATCGTGGATCTCTTCAAAGCTTTATATAATTCCAGTTCCTGTCCACACTTGAGAAAGGACCATTTGTACTACCACCTTCTGTATGGAGTTCCTTTTCTAGAACTCAGTGCTTATTGAGCTTGAGCAATGTGTCTGATACTTCAATGTAATATGTCTAGTTCTATAATATTTTCTGTTTTGTTTTATTTGCTCAGAACCGTGAACTTCAGATCATGAGGAAGTTGGACCACTGCAACATCGTCCGTCTGCGCTACTTCTTCTATTCCAGTGGAGACAAGGTAAGCTAGTGGATTTTTATTCACAGGCATCTTCTCATCTGAGAGAGATTTTTAAATAGCATACAACTACAACTCAACAAATATTTACTAAAGGTGCACCGAACTTAAAAAAAAAATCAGACCTGCCGATACCAATTTGTTGTGTGTGTAAGGTCACAAAACACATCCAATGTTCCAATCTTATTTTATTGAAAAACACTCAAACAATACCCTTGAAGCAATACAAACTTTTGACATGAGCATTAGGTAGTGTTCACAGCAAAATTAAAGGGGACTGTGGCTGATTTGCAGATATTTGTGAAGGTAGACGAAAAACTGATATTTTCCACCGATCAAATCTAAGTTTAAAAAAAARAGAAGTATTGGCCGATCTCCCAAAATTAAGCAAATCATTTCCGATAAATTGGCCAACCCATTTATCAGTGCATCCTTATTATTTACAAATCAGACCACATAACATGAATATCAAATAAGGGGATCACGTATCAGTGGCTCAATCGTTAGTGCTGTTGCCTCCAAGTAAAATGGTTGCTAGATCAAATCCCGGCCGGGGTCCTTTCAAGAATTTCACTTCTGTTTGTAAATGTGCAGTGGGACTTGTTTGTTAAATACAATAAATCAGGACTAGGAAGCCACCTGCTTTTTTGTCCTTTTCATCCCTGACAAYGACTGGAAGTCTCTCAGAGACTGCACGTCTGTAGTATGTCATTCAGCTGGCTGACAAACCGGCCTGTGGAGGTCTGCGTGTCAAATATAGATGCACATGGACTTGGCACACATGCTGTCGGAACTATACCCATGACGCCACAGTCAGGAATGCTTCTCTGTTGCTCAACTACTCAAGCCAAGGAAAGCTGTTGAGAATTATGAGTGGTGGTGGTGTGGATAGGTGAAAGAATAGCAGACTGAAAAATGGTTTGGGGGGGGG